GGAGCGCCTCATATGGCTGCAATTAGCCTTGACCTACTGACAGCTGTTTATTCAATGCGACAATCAACATGAGGTGTAATCCCTGTTGTTGTATAGTGTATAATTCATTACATGCGGCAACATGATAAAGTTGTACGAAACCTTCTAGGTTAGGTTAGCTAGGTTAGGAGGCCATTTGCAGGTCAAGGTTTCAAAGGTTCTTAGGATCTGTAATGCGCAAATGCATCATAGATATCACAGAGTTAGTTCGAACAACATACATGCCCTTTGGACCAACAGTAACTCATTTCAATTATTATGCACTATAATACAAAACTTTAACTGGAAATCAGCTAGAGTCGGTTAAACCAATAATGGCCTTGAGGATGACTTGTGCAAGTCACTGTACCCAACTAACGCATAATTCTTAAAGACCATATTTCATTATGTGTTGCACTGCCCCTTTACTTCTAGTTACCTGCAGAGGGGCATTTAATCAGGTCAAGGCTCGATGGCATTTGAGCACCTGCAGTGCCCGCTAGACCTCGAATGAATATGTTCGTTTTAGCACCTCGTGTTCATTACGAGCAGTGTTATAGGAGCTGGTGCCACCGCATAAGTGGTAGGAGCAAGGGCGCTTGGCGATGCGCGGACAATTTGGTCTTGAAGGAGCTGTGTAAACTGGAATTATCCGACTACGAACATACGTTAACGTTTAGGCGGTTACAAGGAGCTACAGGCAAGATCGCGTCGATCATTGTTTGTAATTGATTAGGGGTGTGGCATTTAAACAGGCCAAAGTACCATAAATAGTCTTGTTTAAAACAAAGTCATGATTTAAAGCTGATGAAAGAGCTTATTTGGTTGAATAAAATAAATTCTGCTTTACTCACCGGTTGCGTCAACAGACACGTAGCTGTATGAACCTTGACTGCAGGGATCGCTTTTCCAGCGCGTTACCGTGCTGTGCGACAGCTGAAAGTGTGAAAATGACGAAAACCGTCACAAGCAACTGATATGCTTTTAGCTATTTTGCTTACCGGTGCCAGGGAGTCGCCAAATATGCTTTTCAGCACTGCCAACGTGTGTTCGACCACCACAGCATCGCCGAGGCCTTCGACGCAGTCCGCCGCTTCGCCGGCCATCAGACATATGAGAACCGGCTTTTGGTACAGAGACCAGAAAAGAAAGTTCTCTCCGCGTGCGCTGTTGATGCTGTTAACGTGGCCGAACGTATCCGTATCCGTATTCCAAAATATATGTTCAAAGAATAGTGCGACCTAGAAGAGCAAACCAACGTATGAACTAACTTAAAGTTCGGTAATCAAAGGGTAGCCTTGCTGAGTAACAGTTAAACGAGCGACGTCGACATTGCCAGTTAAACTGGACAACTACCAGCAATCCAATGATGAATACACGGCAGACGGCGGGACGAAAACATTTCATCAGAAAGAGTACCGTTCAACGCCTTCTTCGCCAACCTTCTGTCCGGCGTAGTTGTCAGCAAAGTTTCGAATTCACTATGAAATGAAGAGATTTTGTCTCGAAAGCAGAGACGAGGTGAGACCTGGTTTATGATAAACTAATTGGTCAAACAAGACCAAACACCCTTTTTTATCCACAGATCATCTGAGGTCACCTGTACTCAGATGAAAATACAATCATTCCTTATGTGGTCCCATTACTGAATCCGCATTACGCCAAAAAGCAGGCGATGTTGTACGCTGAGCGCGATACTAGGCGTTGGCTACCCTCTGACAAAGGCGCATTTGAACTCGTGACAGTCTTGTAGCTACGGTTAGAAAACTAGGCGTCATATGAACAAGTATGATAGATGCTGAAGGTTCAGAAAGTCTCTTTCGTCATTTCCATTTCGGCGGAGCTGGAACGCTGACGCGTGCGCAATGGTAACAGTCCGATACCGTGAAACGGTCTCGATGGATCGGTTCGTTGACAGAGGAAAACCTTGTAAAACGCTGAGAAATATACCTTGCCGAAAATCAAGATATGCGTCACTTTGTCACGCCTCTGGGTAATGCTGAGGCAAAAGTTAGTTACCGGTACCTCAGTGGGTTACGACCTTCTAACTGCATTGCTACGGACTGATAACAAAAATCAAGGGACAGTGTCTCAGGATTAACCGACAGCAACGCGTTGATGCAGTCAACTACTCACACAGTCGCAAAAAATCGGCCAACTAAGGCAGGCTGCAAGTGCCCTCGAGTAATGGCAAACGGGTGAGCGTTGTATTCTGCCAAAGGCTTCACTGAATCTCACCCGTCGCGCTTCAGCTACGTATTATCCGTCGCCTTCTAAGGCACTAGGATATATGGAAGACCACAGAAAAGCCACGCTAAAACGCATCGCCACAACTGTTTTAACTCAGACTGCGGGTGACTCCGACTCTTGATTGCGACGACGGAATGATTCCTACAGATCGCTGAGAAATTACGGCAGAAAGACGAAAAGCGTAACGAAAATAAATGTTCTAAGGTTTAGTCGGCTCGGCGACGCAGAGTCATCGTTTTACCTTGTTCAAGTTTCCAAAACCCAGCCCGTTAATGGCGGCGATTTTCCAGGACGGTAACGGTGGAATGAAACGTAATTGCTTCAGCGAAGGTTCAATGGTCCTATCGACCGAATATTTCAGAACGCCCAAAGGAACGGTGACAAGCACGGCATCGCACGGGAATATCTCCAGTCGACCCCCGCTCCCGTAGTCAGTACCAACAACTCGCATATCTAAAATATATTTGCATTTTAGAACTGCCTCGTTAATACTTGCTCACTACAACGCTAAATTTTTTTGATCATCGAGCACCGCATTTTACACGTATCGTGCGTATTTGAAGCGGTCGAATTGTAAACAATTTCATAATCTACCAGTTTCAAAATATTTATTTCATTATTTTAAAACATTAAACAATTCAGTGTTTAAATAGGACATGACGAGTGTAGTGAGGGCGATAATGTGTACACTGGAGAGACCCATTAAACATTCAGATTAGAGGTGATTCATTTGCAGCCAGTCTCGGAGAGGCTGGCTACTCTAATATTGCGTAACACGCGATTTATGAGGGGCACTCCTTCAGTCAGACGAATGTGTCTGTAACAGATAAGGACCAGTCAAGAAAGGGTCCTTTGAAAATAAAGTCCCAGGATATTTTGGTAATCAAACATCGCACGTGCAATGAATAATCCTCGTCTGTTGTGATAACTGAAAGCTGAGGTGCTATCACCAAGTTGATAAGAAGATTCAAAGCGGCGTAGCTGAGTTTTTGAGTTGCGTAAGCTTCAGGTCTCCGAGAAGCAACCGACGGAATGCAGTCGGTTTAGGCGACTATTAGGCTATTTTACTGCTTTGAGTTAAGTAATGTACGTTTCACTGTATTTTCAGCCCTGCTATCAATGCATGATCGGAAATAAAATATAGTTTTGGAGCAAAAATAAGTATATAACCCTTTGGAACGTCAGCAATTCGTACACTCTTTCATAATGGAGCCATTCTGGAAACCTTCCTTTCACGGCTCACACTCAAAGCCATCAGCCAGGAGTGTTTCATTTTAAAGGCGGCCTGGACGTGTGGCAAGCATAATTTATGGTCCCCTGTTTCTCTCCAACAGAATGAAACTCGTTCGGAAGGGAAAAAAGAGAGTGACCCCGACCGAAGCTCGAACTTTGGCCATCTCGCTTCTGAGTCTGATGCCTTACCACCTGAGCAACCCCAGTTTCAGTTCCGGAAGTCTTACACAAATTATAACATACTCCTCCACGCGACGTGAACCTACATTTCGTTATTAACGAGGTTACATACAAGGAGAACCAAGTCCAGAAGCATCGTTCATGATGGGCATAAGATTATTTCAGCGAATGGATTCGAGATGCCCAAAGTACTGCAAGTGAGTAAAGGGCACGGAACCATGGCCCGCTTAAATGGTCCCAAGGCAATGATGAGCATGGAGGCAGTGCAGTGTGCCGTGAAATCTGGTCTGTGATGTGTAATGCGTGCATTAACATACTGTGACGTATCACCTTATATCTGTATGTTTCTATGCACCAGGATATGAGCAGTTATGAAGTTCAGAAAAATCGCTCGTGACAGACAAGAGATTACCGCAACGTAGCCACAAGATACGTCTAACACTGTATGCATCAAAATGCCGTGGATCCATGGCATAATTACATACCCTATGCAAAGAGGAAAAATGCTACAGCGCAATCCGCCGTCAAATCTGGTGTCAGAGCAGCGATGCGCCATGAGTCGATGTAACGACATTCGACCAAAACCGCCTAGATCTGTAGTCTAATATACTACAGCACACGATCAGCAAAACTACGGTTATCAACGATCTGCAAAGCAATAATGATGCAATTACATTCGCGAGACAAGGTGATGAATGATTTCACTTCTACGGCGTTTGAAGGATCAGGCTAGCAACAACTGCGCTTTGATGATCGACAACTGCGTTAAACGACACGACAGTATCATTAATCGGAAACATCATTTCAGTGCAAAAAAGTGTTTAGGAGAAAGCTGCCTAACAGAGACCTGCATGAGAAGAATGAGCAACGGTGCATGTGCGATAAGAAGATGTTGTGATATTGCAACAGTATCCGTGGCTATATCGTACGGGCAAATCCTGCCTCCTTGCAGCAGTACATCAAACGAGTCACGGGAAAGCGGTGACAACAAGAACACCTGTCAAAACGGAAGCAAAAAACGGATTATCGCGGATTAACCTCATTGACCAGATCACAGTGATCATAAAGACTTTCCGTTAGATTTCCGGTCGACACATTATTGCTTGATTCGTCGGAAACGTTTTGTCACATCGTTCACTGAATTTGCAGACGTTTTCAGAACTTTGATCGATTCTAAGATTTCGATTATCAACACCATCCATCATTCGACAATTCGAGAGACTGAAGACTCGGCGACCGACGAAATTCGTCAAACAATGTCAATGTAAATCTTTCGAGTTCCAAAGCCTTGCTCGCCTGAGGCAGTAGTTCCGAAATTCGACTCATTATGGTATTTCGAGGTGAAAAATAGAGATTTTTTCTAACACCGCAATGCTTTCGCCCAGCTGTCGAAAGAGCTAGTGTCGTTCATAAAACGAGCACTGCCATGGCGCAGCGCGATGAAACAATTTTATTGGATCATAAGTCAAGCTTTAAAATCAAACACTGTTCTAATAGAAGGACATATGCAGTCTTTTACTCACAACAGAAAAATGAGAGAAAAGTGGAAAAACGGATATCGTATGTGAAGATTTCTAAATTCACAACGGCATTAATTTTTCAGCACCAACAATTAATTTATGATAAAAAATCTACTCCGCCGTTGCCGATCATAAGCCCGGATGAGAAAAGAAGAGGGCTAGAAACTGGGTAGTTATAAACGTAAAGCGACATATCTGTAAAGATTAATTTCTAACAAAACTGAAATTACGTCGTATTGAATAAACCGTGATTACTCATATTTCTGTTCTGCATATCTAAAAACAAAGTACTCAACTGTACTTCCCTGTTCCATTTCATGGATACGAAATAAAAACGGTGCATGAGATCGCATGACAGCGTGAAGTTTGCTGAACTGCGTACTTTTCAGTCCCTCGGGCAGTTGTGAGAATACGCAACATTCACTGAGCTGATCAACTAATTATAAGGTTACTCAGAGACTGCCAGATTTTATAATGGCTTTACGACAAAGTATTCCAGATACTTTGAAAACGAACAGGGATGTATGGCTTAGTGTAATGATTCCAAAATTGTTTCGATTGCGACCCTAATCAGAATCTTTTCCCAACGTGGCGACCAAAAGAGCGGGTACACAAATTATTAATTGTCCATTTTATGATATATGCATAGTGTTTATTAGACTATCTTAATGAAGTAATTTCAATAAGTAAAGTAGAACGAGTTTC